CAGTATATAGATGAAGGCACTCAAAGTACCTGGTATGATACCCGGTACATTACAAGTGCTCAACAAACATTAATTCCCCTCCTCTCCCTTTATCCTTAGCCCACCCCACTCCTGAAAACAGGGAGACGTAGAGCCTCACTTGGGATGAGGGAACATCTGGGTCAGAGAAAAGAGAAAAGGTTTTGCGAGGGGCCTGTGGAGCAGATTTCATATTTTGGTTTGGTGCATTCTAAGACGAAGACCCTCAATGAGATGGATTGACACAGTGGCTGCAACAATGGGCTCAAACATGGCAACAATTGTGAAGATGGCTCGGGACTGAGCAGTGTTTTGTTCTGTTGTACATAGGGTCGCTAGGAGTCGGAACCGACTCGACCCGCACCTAACAACAACAACAAGGTGGGACCAGCCCACTTCCCCTCCTCCAAAGTCTTTCCTTCTTAAGTCCCTCACTTCCTGCGTGACAGTGATGCTGGCACTCCACGTAAACACATCTCTGAGAGCTAGCAACGTGCTCCTAAGCAGGCGTTCTTGGCCCAGGAAGGAGGGCGGGGCCGGGCAGGGAGTGAGAGTCGGCTCTACCTAGCAGCCCCTGCCTGGGGCAGGAGGCCAGAGGTGAAAGTCAGCCATTTATTATTCCAGGCAGTATGTCTGCAGTGCTTAACCAGCCTGAAGCCCTCGCCCCTTGGTCCCTTGGGTTTCCTTTGTTCCATTTCCATTCATACTTCATTTCCCATGCATTGCACCAGATTCAGTAGGAGCTTCTGGCAGGGGTGATTCAGGGGGTGGGCTCCTTTCATATCAGCAAATATACCCATATCCTGCACAGGGAGTTACTCTTTTCCCCATGGTCTGGGAATGTGCTCCAGGGAGAGCTTCAAAGAGTAAGGGATTCCTTAGACGGACAAAATGGGAGGAAACAGGTCTCTGCTGTTGCTTCTGTTTTTGTGGCTGAGGGCATGAGGTTCTCATCTCTGGCAGCTCCTCATTTCTGGAACTGGCTCATTTCTGGAACTGGCTAATGAATGAGCCTAGATGCAGGTTGGATTATCAGGGTAACTTGCTTCTCACATATGTGTACGGAGGCAAGAGGGCTCTTTCACCCTCATTGCCTGGGATGTGATGTAGTTAATTCTGAAAGAGTGAGGGAAAGATTAAGCATTCCCTCTAAATGGAAATGAGTATTCTCTATACCCTAGAGATGCCTGCATTCTAACGGGCCTCAGGAAAGGAATGAGGTATAACGAAAGGTGCGCCGCCAATCCTTCTATCCTCGGATCTCAGTGTCTTCATCTGTGAGGTGAGAGGTCACAGCTGTCCTAGCCAGAATTACTATGAAAATGCTGTCACATGTCATCTACAAATTATAGAACAGATGTTACAGGACAGGAGGGAGAGGATTAAAATTACTTAATGATCGTGCAAAGTAATGTTTCTTGCCCCAGGAGGAAGGAATGAGAGAGTTCCCACTTGCAGGCTATCATCCTTTAGGCTGGCAAAATGCTAGAAATGGGGAGCAAGAGGATACCTTACCCAGAATGGCCCAAGCGGGATGACTAATCCTGACCTGACAAGAGGCAGAACCTCCCAGGCGTCTGAGAATTGCGTCTGAGTCTGAGGTGGTGTGAGCACTCACAGATCATTCTTTGGCAGTTGCCTAATAAGGGTAGGGGCCAGGCAAGCTCAGCAGTTGCAGAGAGCTCGTATTCCAGAGAGCTCAGGGCTAAGGGAGAATTATGGGCACTGTATACTCGTTCTCACTAGAGAAGACCTTTTCTAGCGATCCCACCTTAAACCCTGGGCCCCTGCTAGTTCTGCATCTCTGGAGCAACCTGAAGCAGGAAAACTTTTCCACATGCCCCATGTGTTCTAATCTCTGTTTTATTAACAGCTTTATCAAGATATTAATTCACATACCATACAATTCAAAGTATACAATTCAATGGTTTTTAGTATATTCACAGGCTGGGCAACCATCACCAAAGTTAATTTTAGAACATTTTCATCACCTTAAAAAGAAACCTCAAACCCTTTAGCTATCATTACCCTAGCCCCCCACCTCCCCTCACTAATCTGCTTTCTGTCTCTATAGGTTTGTCTCTTCTGGACATTTCATACAAACGAAATTATATACTATGTGGTCTTTGTGACTGGCTTCCTTCACTTAACAGTGTTTTCCGTACGTCCTAATCTCACATGACCTTTTCTCATCTGATGCCTATGTGAGAGGAAGAGCCTCTTCTCTTTGGTTTCCTGAGGAGAGGGTCAAAGTAAGGAATTCTCAGATTGACCCTCTTCCTAGGAAAGTTATTCCTGAGATACTAAAAACCATATATGCTAGTGCTTATTGCTAATGGTTATAATTTAGTGGTTATTGCTAATGAGGCTGCCTTGGAATTTTCCATTCTTTGTTGGCAGGGCGGTCCCCGGAAGGGCAGATGGAGCATGGTGCCCTTCTGCTCGAAGAACTAGACAACAAAGTCATTAAGATCACATTAAGCCTTCTCCCATCACTTGAGTGTCCTGGATTGGACGCTGGCAACTTCCGTCTCAGATTTCCAAGTACCATTTCTATCTACAATCCCATTCCCTTACCATATTCTTAGGCTGGTATGAAAAGGTAGGGCCAGTTCTTCCCCCAACAATGGGCTCAGGCATAACAACAGTTGTGAAGACGGCGCAGGACCTGGCAGTGTTTCATTCCGTTGTACATGGTGTCGTTATGAGTTGGAACCAACTCGATGGTCCCTAACAATAACACAACATTCTTCCCCCAATTAAACGTGGGAGGGACTGAGCCCGAAGAAGGCTAAGTGACTTGCCCAAAGGGTGCCTGGGAAGATGATAAATCTGCGTCTGAATCTGCCACTGGTCATTCAACAAAACAATATATTAAATGAATAGTGGTGACATAGTTTGGGTAGAGATAACAAGAATGATGACATGTTGTGAAGAATATCAGTGAACCGTACGCGGAGAGATTGCTGAATGGGTTATGTTTTGCTGTGTATATTTTTCATCAAAAATGAAATAAATATTTTGGAAAATAAATGATGCGCAAACGGATGTAAAAATATATATTCCATTTAATGTGCGGGTCCACTTCTAGGCACTGGGTGTAAAGCAGTGAACGAACAGATAAAGAGCCCTGCCTTGTGGAGGAACATTATAGTGGGTGGAGACAGAAAAAGTAAAATCTCCTGATTCCCACTTTAGCACTCCATCAGCACCAGTTCCAACATCCTCTGGAAAGGTTCAGGAGTTCTACTTGCAGGTCAGTGTGGGCTTCTTGCTGCTTTGGCCCCGCCCACTCCTTCCGGGCTGGGAGGAGAAACGGAACTGGAGGGAAAATCCTGTGGTGCTGCCAGTTCCTGTGGTGTCTGGAGGAAATTTCACACACTGCCTCAGGCTCTTTTCAGACCTCCTAGTTCCCCAGGATTCCCTGATGACATGGAAAAGAAAGGGAGTATGAAGTTAAAGAAAGAGAGGGAGGAAGGGTGAGAGAGAAAGAAAGAAAGAGAAAAAGCCTGCTTGCGTAACCCATTGTAAGCTGGAGTAGTGCTCAAAATCTATGGTAGGAGGGAGACAGAGCGCACATTGGGTAAGGCGGAAGGGGGGTGACCTCCATCCCCCTGGAACAGGATTGATTGGAATCAGCAGGGACTTTGGCCACGTGATTTCTGGAAAAGTAATTGACAGAAGAGTCAAGTCCTTATCTGATCATTCACCTTCTGGAAGTGAGGATGCCATCTGTTTATTAGAGAGGCTGACCAGGGTTCTGTGCCACCCCCTAGTACCTGAACTCAAGTCAGTGGGGACTGCCTGGGCTCCCCATGATCCCTTGCTGTGTGCAGGAAGAGCCCCTTCACGTTTAAATGGCTGCTGTGTGGTAGTGGCTCCTGCATGCCACACAGCAGCCCTGCTCGGAAACTGAGAGCAGGGTTCGGGATAAGTCTTTTCCCACCTGGAGCCTTCCACGTCCTTACCTACACACAGCGCTGCACCCTTAGCGCGTGTGAGCGGTAACCACACCTGCCTCTCTGAGGGGAGAGATGCTTGCCTCTTGGATGCAATGAGCTGATCCGCGACCCTCTGGTGCTCATTCATACGCAGGCTGACTTGTCCCCCTGCTTACCTAGATGGGGCCTCGGCTGTCTCTGAATGGATAGCTGTCTTATCACTGCCTCCCCAGAGAAACTTTAATGCTTATAGGCTTCCAACTCACTATCTTTCCTCCTCAGCGGCTTTCCTGTATTCTTTATAAAAAAGGTTCCACCTTGTATCTCCGACTGCCAGAGCATTTTACTCTCCCTCACACTTCCAAAAGCCTTTTGGAGAGGGGTGGGGCCTAGCCCCAAGACCCGAACTTAGTGCCTGACCCATTGACAGCAGCAGCTGCAGCAGCAGGCTGCAGAATTACCATACAGCTGGAGGCTGAGTGTGCTGGGCCCTCCGGAGGATTTTCACATCTTCTGTCAGGTTGTCCTCCTGGTTTGTAAATGTGTGTGTTGGGAGTGGGGGAGGGTGTCAGGAGTAGGGGAGGCCGGCAGACCCACAGGCCACCCTCTAACTCTCTCAGGTCTAGATTCCTTTTCTGATCCCTTCTTGCCTCTTAGAAGTTAAGGTCAGATTATAGGCCCTGTATCACTTGCCAACAGTTCTCTCAAATAGAGCATTAGAGGGTGTAACCTTTTATTTCCAAGCTTCCCAGGTTTGTGGGATTTGCGTTGCTTGGTTTGGGAGAGGTGAGACGTGAAGACTGGGGTGTATCTAGAATTACATCTCTGCAATGGAGTTTACAGGCTGCTGGGGCCTCCCAGGTGGAAAGGGCCTCTCCCGAGCCGGTTCACTCAGCTCAGGCCTCAGCTACCAGTTCAGATCAGGCATCAACCGTCATTTAAACGCTTGTGCTAGGATGGGTATCTCTTGTCCTTACAGATGCTGGGTCCCCATGCCTGCTCTAATTGTTTCTTTTTGTCTATCTTTGAATCTTTTTCCAGAGATCCAGTTGTCATCGGTATCCAGGGAGCCCTCCTCTTCCTCCTCCTTCTCCTGCCGCCTCGCTACCACCACAGTTGCTAGTTGTTGCTAAGATTGCCTCCATAGTAACATGCACATCCTGTTTGTACTTCGATATGGCCAAGGCAGTCTGAGCTAGGAACCTACCTACCCTGGACAACCACTTCCATCACCACCTGGGGACGCCAATCATTGTGACACGTGGTCCGGCTTCCACTCCCTTCCCCCATTCTCTTCCTCCTCTCGCTGCCAGGCTTCATACACAAGAAAGAATCTGGGCTTGGAGCTGCTACTCTGAAGCTTATTGCACAAGATATAGCCGGTCTAATTCCTAATTGGGCCCCCAGAGAAGCAAGAAGTAGGAATAAGTGGGGGCAGGAAGGCAAGAGACCCTGATCAGTGGAAGGGAAACTCCACATCTTCTCTTGTTGAGGGGCTTGGTAACAGCAGGCAAAATGACGAACCCATCAGAACATGCCTTGGCAGCCAACTCAATGGTCGACAGCCGTGAAGGGGACTTTGGCTGCACAGTAATGGACCTGAGGAAGCTCATGGAGCTGCGCTCAACTGATGCAATGAACCAGATTAATGACCACTATGGAGATGTACAGAATATCTGCAGTAGACTGAAAACCTCCCCTGTGGAAGGTAAAGACCACATCATGGGTAGGGGGTTCGGGGAAGGTAGCTAGTGCTTCAGAATGTTGTTTTTCCAGATTCTAGAAAAGGCACATTTCTGGAGACTCCGTTGAAACATCTATGTCTGGTAGGAAAAGTATAGCATCTGGTATTCTCTGAATATCATTCTTTCCTCCTTTTTCTGTACCAGTGAACAGAAATAGGGTACTTATCTCCTTTTACAAATGTTTATGGTAGAGATGCCTTTATCAGTAAATAATCATGAAATCCCTTATTCTGTTTCAGACTTTGATTACAAAAGAGTATTAGATACAGTGAAACCTGTGAGAACCGGAACTTGACGGGACTGCCTTGTTTTTCTGGGACTCACAAGTTTTCTGCCTTTTACAGGGTGTAGTTTTACCACTTTTCTATTGCTTCTTTTAGTGTAAAATATGAGTGTTCCTTCTCTGACAGGCTACCACCTTGCACAGGTTCTGCTTTCGTAGGTTTTACTGTATAATTCTTCCCCACACTGATTTTACAGTGAGATGAGGGGAGGGATGGGCACAAAAGTAAATAAGTCTATCTGTCCAATTTAGAGCTTTACTACTGTATACAGTTAAAAAATGGGAGAGTAAATCATTAGGTATATAGTTGTACCCATCATAGTATCTTTGGGTCATTCCCTCTGTTTTCTGTCAGGGGATTATTGGTGCCTTTTTCAAGCCTGACTGATCCAGTTTTAATATAGTTCTTCTTAACCTATTCTTAAAAGAAAATGAAAAATCCAACTTCATGCTTACCTGGCTCAGCCCAACTGCCTAGTGGGCTATGGTAATATGAAAGTTTGCTTCATTGAAATGGGACGAGAGCTTAAGGAGCCCTGCTTTCTCACTTCTGTTTGGTTTCAGCATCTCTGTTACAGATTCTTGCTTGACCCTAAGGTCAGGCATCAGCGTGAAATGGAGCCAAGATCCTGTCCTTCAGAGGCCCTAGCCTTCTGAGGTAGTCTATTTCTGAGCCTTCCTCAGAAGCCACATCACATTTCTTCCCAATTCTAAGAAGAGATTTGGAGCCCTCACCAATGCTATATTACAAGTTAGTGAATTGCAGTCCAGACTCTTTAGGATAAAAAAAGAGAGAGAGAGCTTTTTACAGAGATATCCATACATACCCAATGTCTTTTTATTCTTGGCAACCTAAGGGAGCTGCCCTACTTGTTCTCTTTACCTGTAGAATTCAGTTTCCTATCTCATAGGCTTTGAGTTCAAATACTGGCTCTACCAGTTACTAGCTGAAAATATTGAACAGTTAATACTCAACCTTTCTGAGCCTGTGTCTTCTTTGAAAATAATGTTGGTAATACCTAGCCCATAAAGTTACTGGGATTAAATAACACAATGTGTGTATTTTGCCCAAACACATAATAGGTATGTAATAAATTGGTTGTGTTAGATTAAAACAGAGCCCATGTGTCTAAAGACATTTGCCAGAATGTGAGTGGCTATAGGGTGCAATGTATTGTTATGCCTGGAGAGGTTACTCCATGTGTAACCGCAGCCACTGTCCATTCCTCCAGTCACCTCTTGATCTCAAAAAGAGACCTGATTAACATAACAAGGCTTAGTTGCTTTCATGTCACTTACAGGTGGCTCAGTCTTTGCCTTCTGACTAGTATATAACGGCTGCTCTTTGAGCACTACCTACTTCTCACCAGCTAGATGTCTTTATCCTGCCACTTTTAGAGCAATATTGCCCTTAAAGAAAGACTATTACTATTATGGAGTTCCTGGGTTAAGCTCTTGGCTACTAACCAAAAGGCTGGCAGTTAGAATCCATGCAGAAAGTCCTGGTGATCTACTCCTGAAAGGTCATAGCCACTGAAAACCCTGTAGAGTGCAGTTCAACTCTGGAACACATGGGGTTGCCATGAGTTGGAATAAACTCAACAGCGTCTGGTTTTACTGGACACCTATTAGGTTTATACTGAGATAGTGCAGTGCTTTAGAAACCCCCATCAGAATTTAAGCAGGCTCTTTTAGTTCGCTTTCTTATGCTGTTCTTGATCTCTGTGGTCAGTTTTTTCTCTCACCAAGTGAAGTTGAGGAGTTCAAATCAGCTGGAATCTCAGCGACTCCTATGGCAGATTCCCCTGTCCCTTTTCCAGATCCTTTCCTGTAGCTGCTACTATTTGCTTTCTGATTCCCAGACAGCTTCCATTCCCAAAGGCCAATATATATTTGACTTTTCCCTCTACATTGGATACCAAATGTTATGGACCTAGTTAATACCCCTAGATTCTCTCCAGTCCTGGTTTCAAACCTGTAGTTAAAAGCCACTCCTTCCAATGGCAGGTGTCTCTGTTGCTATAGACCTTGGCCGTTACTATATCCCAGTATTCCTACCCCTGGCACAGCTGTCCATTGCCATTCTCCTGCTTGCTTAGATTACAAATATGCATCATGATTTGTTTTTAATGTAAGACTTATCATAAGGCTGGTCCTGGAGCTGGAGAGATTGGGTGTCAGAAAGCAAATTTTCCATTAGTAATTCTTAGCCGCCAATGACAACAATGACCATGTGGGTGAGGGGAATACAGGGATAAGTAAAGGAGGCTCAGACACACGAGTCTCTACCCAGACAAGGGCAATGCTGAGCTGTTTAGTTGGACAGTCACAGAAAAGACCATCAATAGCCAGGTGCCCCGATGAGCTGATGCTATAAAAAGCCAGTCTGTTCACAGAAGACCACACTGAGGTGCCTGACAGCCTAGCATAGTTCTATCACCTGTGGGAGGCTGCTGCAGACTAATAATAAGAATGGAAGAAATATACCTGATGCTTGAATTCTGCTGGTAGGTAACCAAGGTGAATTGATATTGGGGAGACTGGAGAAATCGGCTCCTAGAGCATGTAAATTTCCTTCTTCCTATTTCAGATTGAATTCCCAGGTAGAACCTTTCCCTGTTATTTTCTGTTGATTGTTGAGCATCTTTGGTATAGACTGACAGGATTTTGATTTTTTTTTTTTTTTAAACCATAGCTGCTACTAAGGAGCCTTTTGGAAGCTTGGGGTTTATAATGTTTCTAACACTGCCATGGTTTTGTTATTCTAGATTTATGCCATTCTAAAGCCAAGCAGGACTTAATGTTAATGTAGTGTCTCTCTCTCTCAGGAGAAACAGTTAAATAAGCTGCCTAAGGTCTTACCTTATGTACAGTGGTTAAGAACTACAGCTGCTAACCAGAAGGTCAACCAGGAGGTCGGCAGTCTGAATCCACTAGCCACTCCTTGGCAACCCGATGGGGCAGTTCTCCTCTGTCCGATAGGGTTGCTATGAGTTGGAATTGACTCGAAGGCAACAGGTTTTTTTTTGCTGGGGGCAGGTTTAAGGTCTCACCACCGGGTAGAATATGATGGGATATTTCACGTTCTCTGACTCACAGTCCATCAGTGTTCTGCTGCATCTTACGTTAGAGCAGCAACACAGAGAATCTGAGAAGCACAGTTTAAAATATCATTTTCCATTATGAGTACCTGATGAAACATCGTATTGTGACTCAAGACTCATGTTAACATTGACCAGCAGTCCTTGAATATACATTGGCTAATTGGAGTAATAAGAGGAGTTGCCCCAGTGGCTAAGAGTTGTTTAGACGCAAGAAGACTTGGAGACGCTCGGCTACCTCAGTACTCAGCAACAATCAGAAACAAAGCTGAGAGTGTGAGCAAAAAATCGAAGGAAAGGTAGGGAAACAAAGAGTTGTATATAGGGTTGCTGGTGGAGAGACTTGAAAGAGGACACATGTTTACATTGAAGTGAATTAAGGTCTTAGCCTTTGTGGTTGTCTACAAACAAAAGCAAAGAGGCAAGCGTGAAGCACCAACTCCTGAGTAAACTGTGTTGCTTTGGGCTTATCAGTAGGAAAAATCTCAATATTTGGAACCAATGGAATCCTTTTAGTTTGCTTGCTTCTTTCACCCAACTTCTTCATCCCCCTCCTTTTATTGTCTCCTCTTCTCTCCTCACCCTACTCTCAATGCAACCAATCGCTCTTCCCCAAACAGCAGAGATTGTATGGGCTGGAAGATAGTCTTTTATCTTCTAAGAGGTTTTCTACACTATCTCATGGCCTCCGTGAGCAGAGGAAACCTTTGATGAATCTAGAATGAGAATGGCTTGTGGCTTAAGAGGAAGAAAACAGAAGAAGTATTTTTCTTAGTCTCAGTATCACTTTCTGTATAAGAATAAGGGATGAACACTGGTCTAGAGAGAAGGTTGTATGTATACTTCTTTCCCCACCCAACTTTTCCACGTTGGTCCTCAGCTATTTCTATGCCTTGTTAGAAGGAAGAATAATGTTTTCTGAGGGAGAGCTAGGTCAGCACTTTGGGGAGCCTTGAATAAACAGTAAATATGAACTATGAGGCTTCTTTCAGAACTTCCATTGAATTTGGGTCTGGAATAATGTTGGCAGGATTTTCTGTTACATAGCCCATCTGTACCCTTTTAGGATCCCTCGGTGGCACAAGAGATTTGCTCTCAGCTACTAACATAAAGGCTGGTGGTTTAAACCCACCCAGCAGCACTGTGGAAGAAAGGCCTAGCAATCTGCTTCTGTAAAGCTTACAGCCAGGAAAACCCTATGGAGCAGTTCTACTCTATACACGTGGGGTTGCCATGAGTCTGAATCAACTCGACGGCAACAGGTTTGGTTTTTTTTCTCCTCTGCAGAGTTGAGAGTGTGACAGTGGAATACAGAGGCTTCCAATTCCTTTTCAACAACATTCAACAAATATTTAATGTCTACTAGGTGCTGGGAGACACAATGGTGAACACGACAGCACAGTCTCTCCTTTCCATAGAGCCTGTAGGCTACCAGAAGAGGCACACAAATTAAGGCCATTTCAGAAACATCGCCGTAGTGCTGATGGGAAGAGCAAGGTGTTATGGGTTCCCAATATGGGGACCTGAACTAAAGAGATTTCAGGGGAGGGAGGGGGTCTCAGAAATTGGAGATAGGACT